AACAGTCTCGCAGTGTCCTTCTCGGTGCGAAATACCCTTTTTCTAACTATGTCCTCTATGTAATTAGTAGATTTTACATTCAATGTTTTCGGGTCTTTCCAAAAAATGACGTAGGGTCTGCCTTTGCTGTCTTTAAATGCTGTCTTGAGTTCTTTTTCCCTCTTTTCATCCTTCAGTCTGTAAAACAACGCATCTACCGAGTAGGTGTTAGAAGTATTTCGTCTTTTGTTTTCCTTCTTTGCTTCCCGCATTCGTTGCCCGAGTGGTTCTTTGTCGTGGTGTTTGTCGTGGATTTTGTCGTATGCTGTGTTTGCTTTCGCTTTTTGTTTGTCGGTTTTTGCGGTTATAAACTGTCTGATTAAATTGTCCGCGGTGGTGAATTGGGCTATTTTACGGTCTTCATAAAAGTTAATTAGATTTTGTATTTTTTCTCTGGTGCCTTGTGTGAGGCGATTTTTGTAGTTGTCGTAGGTTGTTTGTAGTGCTCCCGTGTTACGCTTAATATTTTTGCTCATATACAATATAATTACAATATAAATTAAATTTTCTTTTTAAATACTTTTTCTAAAGATTTTCGTGTTATGTTTAGAAACTTATTTAAAGAAATAGTATAAATATATAGTATAGTAATATGACACATTTTAAAAGTCCCGAGGATATGACAATGGACGAGATTAAGCAACAACTGGCTTTGTATCAGAGGCTTTATTACAATAAAAGGAAAGAAGACGAGCAATTTATGCTGAAGAAGCGCGAGGCAAGTTTAAGGCACAACCAGAAGAAGAAGCTTAAGGAATACATAGCAGAGAATAGTTTAAGTGAAGAAGACTTAACACCAAGTCAGATTAATGAAATCATTACAGATAAGAAACCTAGCGGAAAGAAACGCGGAGCTCCCAAATACGATATGAATGAATACAAAGTGATAATGCCTAATTTTGTAAAATGATGATTTAATTATTTATATTAAATCATTATTTTTTGTTACTTATTTATATGAGTGAGAAACAGAAAATTATTAATGATGTATATTTTGATAGAGCCGGTTATGGTTCAAAACAAAGGACATTAAGCGAAGCACGGGAGAAGGACAAAACCATAACAATGGCAGATATAAACGAGTTTTTTAGAAAGAATGTTGAACAAAAAAGAAAGCCGGTAGGCCAAAACAGTTTTATCGCCCCTCATTCCGCATATGAGTATCAAATGGATTTGTTTTTTATAAACGATTTAGATGAACAAAAGTTTAGGGTAGGTGTTTTGATGATTGATATTTTTGATAAATTCATGTATGTAGTGCCGATAAAAAGCAAACAAGAAGGAGACGTGGCGAGTGGAATGATTGAATGTTTAAATAAGATGGGTAAGAAGCCTCAATTAATTTATACGGACGATGAAGGCGCATTGAACAAGGAGGCAATACAAAAGTATTTGAAGGATGAAAACATAGAACATCATAGAACGAGGGCGCACCCAAATTTTAGCGAAAGAGCCATCAGAACTTTTAAAGATATGTTGTATAGGAGAGTTGAAGCAGATGAGAAAAAAGGAAAACAAAACATCCAATGGCCAGACTACATATTAGAAATATTATTGACCTATAATAATCAAATGAAGCACTCGGCCACAGGATTTACGCCGAAAGATGCCCGAAAACCCAGTAATCAATTCAAAGTGAAACTAAATTTAACGATGAAGGGCAAAAAGAACCGCGTTTATCCTGAACTAAATGTAGGAGATGAGGTTAAAATATTTAGGAAGCGAAAACCAAATGAAAAAGAAAGAGTGAGCAACTGGTCACAGAATATTTATACCATAGAAAGTATTGAAAATAAGTTAGGGCAAAATTATTACAGAGTTGAAGGTAACGATAGGCAGTATCTTCGTTTTGAGTTGTTAAAAGTTTAAAATCTATGGAGTATGTAGAGTATGTGTTTTCGCTATAGTTTCGCAACCATAACATTATTTTTTCTTATAATGTTATGTTTGTAGCCATCCTAAACCCTAAAAGTCACTACACCCGACGTGTCAAAATTGATTTTGGCGTTTTTTTGCTTTCTGCTTGTTTTTGTATGGGTTTTGCCTATATTTTGAAGGTGTTTTCGTTTTTTCGTCATATCAAACCCTAAAATTTCAAGCTTATCTTCATTTTGTATTTAGATTTTTGATGGTTTTATGCTTTTTATGATTTTTTATTTGTAAAAATATATGTAAAACAACCAAGGCGCTGGCAGTCGTAGAGGTCGGGCAGTGCGAGGGGCTCGGTGCTGTAGCGCTCGTAGTCGGTGTAGTCTCCTTCAGGCGGGGGAAGTGGGAGGCATTGGGGGCGAAGTTTTGAAACTTCTACCCAACTCTGCGGACACATCACATTGGCCGAAAGTTTTTTCGCTTCAGCGCTGACTGGCCGATACCGAAAGTTTCTGAGCACACACAAGAAACGAGCATCCACAACGCTCGGCGAGCATATAGCGACAGTGTTTGAGCATATGTTAATGCATGCCGAGCATATGTTGATGCCTACCGAGCATATGTCAACGCCCGCCGAGCATATGTCAACGCCCGCCGAGCATATGTCAACGCCCGCCGAGCATATGTCAACGCCCGCCGAGCATATGTCAAGTCCCGCCGAGCATATGTTGATGCTCCCTGAGCATATGCTCTACGACGATGCGCGTCTAATCTGCCATTGTAGCATGCCCACCTGAACCCAGCGACTGCTGGTGCTTCTTCACAAAACATCATTCACTGCTTCGCGGATGAGGCGGAGGGACGTGTTGCCATCATCATCTTTGAATTTGGCGGACACATCAGCGACGACCATCTTGCGGAAGTTCTCCATAGCCGCAGTGATGCGGTCGTTGGCTTCGACAAGGGCGCAGAACTCAGGCAGGAACTCGCACAACTGCTGGAGCTTGGAGGCACTGACAGCGCGCCCAGACGCGAGGAAGTCCTTCAACTTCGTCACGCCCGCGACGTCAAGGGATTTCACGCCAGCAATGAAGTCACAAGTGTCACTGTTGCTGATGGTCATGGCCGAGTTGAAAGAAGCCTCGTAGATGGTGCGGTCATCGTTGGTCGTCTTCTTGTGCTTCAGCACGGTTTTGATGACCTTGGGCTTCTCTGCTCCGCCACCGCGAAGACGCAACCCAATATACACTCTCTGCCCGTCACCTCCAAGTTTGTGACCGTCAGGAACAGCGGCGTGGGTGTTTTTCCGATTGGAAAGGAAGAAGCTGTCGTAGTCTAGCAGCGCCTCTCCGTTTGACCTTTGCTTGTGGTGAATCTTGAGAAGGACGTCGCTCTTGAGCGTCCCAACGTCCATCTCATCCACCATAACAGGGATGTCAAACAACCAATCGCCGCTCAGGGTATAGACGCTTAGGGGTGCCACCTTGTCGGTGCTGTAGAAATCGGTTGCCGAACAAGCATGCCGTAGAAGCTGGCGACCTCTGTGCTGTGCTCAATGTAGTAGGCGTCGTCGTCAGAGTTGTCGTTGCCGGTGTTCTCCTTGTTGGCCATTGCTCCTTCAATCATCAGATGAATCTGTAGTCCTTCGTGGATGTTGGTCTCGCAGGCGAGGTTGTTGTCGGGGAGCTCCTCGCCGATGTCCTTTGGCACGGTGTCGCCAACCGCGTAGGTGGAGAACTGCCACAAGTGGAGCTTCGCGACGTCAAAGCCCTTGATGTCAGCAATCTTCTCCTTCAGGTTCAGGATGGTGTCGCCATCGTCAATCGGCAACTCAAAGATGTCCGTGACGACGCGGTCTTCACCAAAGACTGTCACCCAAGTAGCAGGCTCAGCGTCGCTCTCCTCGCTGTCATCGGCGTCCAAGGGCACGTTGTAAATGGCGGGGCGCGGGAAGCTTCCAAGCAAGGCATCCACCAAGGCACGCTTTGTTTTTACACTCCCATCGCCTCCGAAGTGATTGACCAAGCTGCGCACCTCGGGGATGGTGAGCGTGTCTGCCATGGCACGGGTGAGCTCCTCGGGCATTCTGTTGCGAAGGCCTGCCCACTCCATGACCATGGCAGGGTAGATGAGCATCGGGTAGTAGATGTCACCGTTCTGGATGATAAGGAGCTTTTCCTTACCAGTGCGGACGTTGGTATCCATCAGCTCAGGGATTTCCACACCACGAGCTCGGATTTGACCCCAAGTTCTGTTGATGTGCTGGCAAACGCGGTCTTTGTCAGGACGCCTCCCACCAAAACTCATTCTGATGCCCAACTGGCGCGTCATGGCGTGGAGCTGGTCAATGCTCGCTTCCTTCAACTCATCAACAGTCGGAACATCATCAGGCGGGGTGTTCTCCAGAACCTCAAAGCTCAACACTTCACTCGTGCTAAAGACGCACTTCACGATGCCTTCGGGACGACGAATGAACCACAGCATGGCTCAAAAGTTACGAGGCGAAGGGCTTAACACTATCGCGCGTGCTTAGCAAAAAGGCCAGCTCACGCAACCAACAAGTGCTCAAGTGCTCACGTGCTCCCAGTTGCTTCAAATTTCCACTGTCAGGCTCACACACGGGCGCGCTCCAAGACTAAACCTTAAAACCCTAGTCTGTCCTTTCCACGAGGATGTTGTTGTCGTGGTTGTCGTAGTTGTCGTTGTCGCTCGGTCAGGGGGTTGCTTCTTATTTCCCTACCTTATCCCTAAAGCTTATTCCTATTATAGATATTTTATTAGAGAATACCATTTCCATTTTCAAGGGTTAGGGATTTCGGGTTGGGAATATGGGTTTTTCTATGGGGGTATTGGTGTATGGAGTTTAGAGTGGGATTTTTCTATGTGGGTCTTGGTGTGGGTCTTCTGGTGGTTCCATGGTATGGGTCTTGCTATGGGTCTTTCCTATGAGTCTTTAGGTGGGTCAGGGTTGAGGTATAGGTTGTTATGGTTTTGGGTCTTGGGTGGCCTAGGGGGGTGGGCATGGTTAGAAAATGGAAATGGTATTCACTGACTGTATAGAGGGGGGGGGGGCAGTAGGGGAACCCCTGAAGGTGTCGCTGGATACTCCGCAGGAGGCCCCGCATCGGCGTCTCTCGACCCGGGGTCCCGTCACGGCGCTGCCCGAGCAGGATGGGTTTAGGGTTTAGGGTTTTAGGGTTTAGGGTTTAGGGTTCAGGGTTCAGGGTTCAGGGTTTAGGGTTTAGGGTTTGCCCGAGCAGGATGGCACGGACAAAGTCTGGAACGTTCCTCTCAGCCGGCTCCGTCGGCGATTCGAGAGGGGCAGCCAGGTCCTCGCCTATCGCGACGAGTACCCCGGCTGGGCCCCGGCAACTGTGGAGGCCACTGTGGCCGAAACAACACCGGTTCTTGAAGAGACCAGCCCCACGGCGATGTCACCACGTCCGCTTGAGATCCCGGAGGGCATGGACACCATGGTCCCTGTTTCTAGGGAGCAGGCCCTGATTCCCTCTTTTTGGGGCTTCGGTTCCCTTTGTAAACCAAAAAAAGAGTAATCCCCTCCCTTTTCTATTCCTAAATTTCCCTTGAGCCAAGGTTTGCTTCCCTGGAGAAGCAGCAGCCGTCTCAATACCATCCTATCGCCTCCGCGAGCCCCGCAAGCTCGACTTCTTCTCAGTCTGAGGGCTTTATCATCTGAATTGCGTAGAAGAGCAGTGCAGGACCCTGTTATGGCTCCATGTGAATTACTTAAAAGAGTAGTGCAGGACCCTGCAAGTGTCCATGTAGCTAAGTGGTAGATATCTTTTGGGGTTTGAAGGGCTTCCCAAATGGCAGCTTTAGGGCCCAAGTATACGCCATATAGGTACATGGACCCTTAGGGGGACTGATGCATGAGAGTTTGCTCCAACGTAGGAAGTCTTGATTGGCCACCGATGACTGCGAAGGCCAGTGATCTTGGGTCAGTATGGTGTCTGATGGCATCAGGAGTAGGGTTTGCCTCGAAGGCCTCCCGTGCGTAGGCAGGCGTGATGAAGTGATTCTGTGGCCACGAGTGCTGCTCATGTCGTTTCACCGTGTGCTTACCCGGCGCCTGCGAGGCCCGGATGGAAAAAGGTGGGCGTGATGTTTCTTGTTTGGTGCTCTCTGCTACAGCTCCCGATGCCGTTAGCCCTGTGCTTTGGGATGCAGTCGATATAGCTCCAATCCTACCTGTGGAGATGCGGTGTTTCTTTGTGCTTCCTGTGGCCTATAGTCTGTATACTCTTCACGGCTTTCGTTAGCACTGATGCAATCAGTTCTGTCGTGGTGGCATGGTTGCTGTTAAGTACCGTGATTGATAATTGTTTCTCTGCTTGTGGGTGCGCCGCATGCCTGCCATGCGGAAGGGAAACCCAGCAAATTACGACATGAACCTACATGTCCCGAGCTGTGAGACGAGTGGGGTCATTGCCCAGCGAAAGCCCTGCAGACCCATGTTTAGGGTTTAGGGTTTAGGGTTTGGGGCTGATGGTTTAGGGTTTAGGGTTTAGGGCTGATGGTTTAGGGTTGAGGGTGGAGACCAGCGGACACTTTCCGTGCGAGTGTGAGAGTCGAAGTCCTGGTAGCTAAAAAAATGGTACCCAAAAGAACCCTATTAAACCCCTGAAGCCCTGCAGCCCTAAACCCTAAACCCTAGGCCCCTTGAGGTGGATGAACCTTGCTGCCGAGCTCATGAGTTCACACTCTCAACCACAAGCGCTCCCGTCTGCAGGCTTTCTCCTGGGTGAGTAGTTGCCGCGCTCGATCTCAGCAGACCCTGCACGGGACAAAACGCTGCGCACATCAGGAAGGCGCCTTGGCGACCGACATTTGTTGTTCTCTACGTGTTCTTGTCTTTCGCTGTTTTTATTTCTTCCTGTCTTCCTTTCTTCATTTCTTTCTTTCTGTATTTCATTCTCTCATTCTCTCTTACTTTCTTTCTTTCCAGAACTAAGACAGGTAGACCCTGAACTCTTAACCACACACTTTGGTTTACAACACAGAACATACCCTCAACTTAGCGTGAGGGCCCTAAACCCTAAACCCTAAAGCTCAACACGATTTTTGAGGTGAAGGGTTTCCACCGCCTAGACCCCCCCGAAACCGTGGCAAAGCCGAAGCTGGAAGCCCTGTACCCCCAGAATCGGAATCCCTAGGTCTCACAGCCGAAACCCTCCCCGGATAAACCCTAAACCCTAAACCCTAAACCCTAACCCCTTCCCCCCCCCCCCCCCCCAATCCCTGAGTCCCTCAAAGATGCCTTGCCGGCCTTGTGCGAGTGTGAGAGTCGAAGCCCCTCAAAACCCTTGTAGCCCATAGGGGCCTTTGATCCCAAACCCTTTTAAATGACTCTTAAATCTGTAGCAAAATGGAACAATATCTAACGATATGCTATGGCATGTTTAATGACTTCGTAAGGAACCTGACAGGTAAAAAGCCTCGAATTGCAAACCCGCACGCGTTGACTTGACAGTTCCCGCAGTTTTGGCCCATTGTGCGTTTCACCACGTCCGCAGGGTTTTTGGGTTTTGGGTTACGCCCGCGCACAACCCTAATATCGACCTTTAACTCCGAGCCAATACGGGCAGCATCTCTAGACGCAGCTTCACAAAAGCAGTCTTGCCATCTCGTCAGGTTTCGGGTCGTCTCTGGGTAGCGGGTACCAGCCGCGGCCCATTGAAATCCGAGATCATGCGCTGCTGTGGACAGACCCCTGGAAGTCGCATCCTCAAAGGATATGCAAAGACGCTGCGTGACCAGGATGTGCAAGGCAGGGTTAAGGGTTGAGCCTGAGGGGCTTAGGGGTTTCGTGTACCGAATCCCAGCAGTTGCACCATGGTCAATGACTACATCAGCAGTTACAGCAGCCAAAAAACCAACTCTTGCCAGGGTTCTTGGGTCTCCACTGTAGCATACAGAAGGCTGTCGAGCGTGTCTGAGATTCTAGATGTACAGCAAACGCCGACAAAATTGGCTTCGGCCCTTGAGGGATATGGCTGAAGACGCGAAACGTGCAACATGGTGCTTCTCCAAGCTTGGATTGCTCTTCGTCCGTCGAAGTCGTGGTGGAAAGTGCGGCAGCTCATGATTCCTGCTCCTTTTTGATTTGGGTCTCAACTAGGAGCTGGAAACCCTAAACCCTAAACCCTAAACCTATTACCCTAAACCCTAAACCCTAAACCCTAAACCCTAAACCAGGAGCTAGGAAGCTTCCTGCTGTGCTGCTGTGGCACCTCTCAGCCCACAGCAGAGACTCTTTAAACCCCAATGCCCTTCACAAGATTTCCTCCAGCAGCAGTACTACGAAGGGCCATGATGATGTTGACCCTAAACCCTAAACCCTAAACCCTAAACCCTAAACCCTAAACCCTCAACCCTCCCTAAACCCTAAACCCTAAACCCTAAACCCTAAACCCTAAACCCTAAACCCTAAACCCTAAACCCTAAACCCTAAACCCTAAACCCTAAACCCTAAACCCTAAACCCTAAACCCTAAACCCTAACCCTAAACCCTAAACCCTAAACCTATTACCGGAGGCATGGCTGATGTTGCTCCGATGCTTTTCCCGATGTACACAGTGCCTCTGCAGGCCGGCTATAGTGTGGCGTGGAGAGGGCATACAGGGTGTACCTGGGACGTCCTGGGACCCTATTTACCTACAGCTTCAAGGGTTCCACCTACTAAAGAAGGGTACTTACTACTAAACCGTAGGTAAATAGGGTCCCAGGTAGGGTTTAGGGTTTCAGGTTTGCGGGCTTAGGGTGGTTGAGGGTAAATCAGGGGGAGTACCCGGCAATACACGGCAGCATCTAAAAAAGGGATCAAGGGTCTGGACATACTCATATCGAAGCCTTTTTGTTCCCGAAGCCCACATGCTCTGGCTACCCTAAAGCCTAAAACCCTGCTCGGATGCTCTTGTTGCCCTCATGCTCACGCATGCGGTGTTCGAGGCAATTTTGTTTGAGAGAGGCCATGAAGCGGCGTTCGCACCCCATCCTTTCGTCCGGCTCACGCCACAGTTCCGTCTGTTCGACCTGCGCATTCTGTAACCCCCAACTCCTAGACCGTCTATGTCTTCCAATTCTGCTGGTATACTGCTCTATGATTCTAGAGTATACTATACGCGTGTTGTACTTGTAGATTGTTCATTCTACGAGAATACTATAATCAGGCCACACTATCTTATGAAAGCGGCATGAAAATCCTGTTTTTTTCTTGTGTTTTCGTGTTATTGTTATTTGTTATTTGTTCTTTGTTCTTTGGTCTTTGTTCTTTGTTCTTTTTTGTTCTTTGTTCTTTATTCTTGTTATTATCATTATCAGTGTTATTCTTTTGCCTCGAGGCCGTGTTAAAGATGACGGAGATCCGCCCGCATGAGCACCTGAAGGCCAGATGCCCCCCAAGACGGGTCCCAGCTCAAGGGATGGTTCCCCCCTTGTACAAGCAGTCCCTAAACCCTAAACCCTAAACCCTAAACCGAATATCATATGGGGGCACAATCGCCTATTAAGGACTGTTAGCATACGGTGGAACAGCCCAAGAGCTTCGGGTTTCGGGTTCAAGGCTTAGGGCCTAAGGTTTCGGGTTTGGGGTTTAGGGCCTAAGGTTTCGGGTTTAGGGCCTAAGGTTTTAAGGCTTCGGCTTTCAGGTTTACGTAGGGGCGCTGCGGCCTCTGCTCAAAAAAGGTTTACGTAGGGTTTTTGTTGAAGCTTTTCCCCCTCCCAGTCCAGGTGCGAAAATGCGAGCTTAGGGAACCTTGACATTACCCTAAACTCTAAACCCTAAACCCTAAGCATCCCAATGCTTAGGGCCTTAGGGCTCCCTGGAGGCTGATGGTGTGCTGGTTGAGTTTGACAAGAGCGGCCTGCCTTTGCAATCTCTACACGCCTCGGCTTTGGAGCTTTGGGGGGGGTTTTAGGGTTTAGGGTTTGGGTTTAAGGGGTTTAGGGTTTAGGGTTGAAGGGGTTCAGGGTTTAGGGTTGAAGGGGTTCAGGGTTTAGGGTGCAGGGTGAAGAGTCGTGGCAAAGCTGCAGGGACGAAGTGCATGCCTCCGTTCACCAACAAGCCCACAAAGCACAAAAGGCTCATGCGCTCGTGTTTGGTGCGGGGGACTGGAAACGGGGGGGTGGGGGGCGGTGGTTCATGCACTACAGGTTTAGGCAAGCTTCAGGGGCCAGTTTGGGGTTTGGGCCGGTTAGGGGAAGCCCCCTTCTGACAGTTTGCTGCTCTTGCGCTCCTTGCCAACGCACGCACGCACACGTCGGAACAGTGGCCTTGAACGAGAACTTTTCAGGCTCCACGCTGTGAAGAAGCAGAAAAGTCCATAGAGTAAACCTTCCTAATTAGGCCCTCGAGTCTAAACCCTTTAGGGCTCGGGAATGTTGGGTTCGGGCTTATGTCTCTATATCTATATATGTATATACATATCGGAAAGCGAGAGCCCAGGTAAAGGTCAGGGCTTCTTCGTTTCTCACCAGTGGATTGGTGGGAGCCATCCCGATCCCGAGTTCCGCCAGTTCAAGGCAGCCGGGAAGGAGGGTTCAGGGTTCAGGGTTTGGGGTTTAGGGTTTGGGGTTTAGGGTTCAGGGTTTGGGGTTTGGGGTTTGGGGTTTAGGGTTTAGGGTTTGGAGGAGGTAGGGTTTAGGGCCCAGTTGCGAACCTCAAGCCTTGCTGCCCTGCATTGCCTTCGGACCCAACTTTAAGCATGTAGAAGTCGCCCAAATCTTGGCTGCCCCGAGCTGGCGCCAAAGCGCCATGGAACAAAAGCACCCGAAACGCTTCTAAGCCCGAAAAGACAGAAGGCTCCAAGCAAACAAGCCCTAAACCCTAAACCCTCAAGCCTTGAAACTGAAAGCCCCTGCCCGGCCTAGAAGCATAAGGCTTGAACCTCGAAGGAGGAAGTGAAAGCCGAGGCCCAAACGCCTAAAACCCAGAACCACGAAAGCCGAAAAGTCTGAGCCTTGGACCCGAAAGTGAGGTCTTGCAGGATGCGCTGCGCGGCGTCACCCGCCTCCTCTTGGATGATGTTTGTTGGGTTTCAGGATTTCGGGACTTGGGGGTTTTAGGAAGTAAAGGCTTTAGGGTTTAGGGTTTAGGGTTTAGGGTTTAGGGTTTAGGGTTTAGGGAGGGTAGGCGTCGGAGGCTATGCAAAAGAGCCAGTTTCGGGGCTCGAGGTTTGTAAAGTGTATCGGGTTCAAGAAGGGACACCACCCTCCGCCCTAAACCCTACCTTCTTGAGGATCAAAACCCTAAACCCTAAACACTAAACCTTCGGGGCCCTCACAGACCCGGCGCCTGGACCTTGAACATATTTTTCGCCCGAAGCGCTAGACTTGCAGCCCCAGCCTCAGCTCTACTCTACACATCCCAGACCGCATACATGTCATACTACATGTTACACAGAACAACAGCATATTATATCATAGCAAAACATACATCTACATATACATATACTTATACGTATACATATACATATACATATGCATATGTATATATATATATATATGTATGTAATACAAAATGTGCACATGGTATATCACACGTGATTCACCAAACAGGTTCTGTCGGACATGAAGAGCATCCCGAAGGATCCTGACAGCGAGGCGAATTTTCCGAGTGCCAAGAGCTGCTGGTCGGACGTTTCAGCGCCCGGAGGGTTTGGGGGGGTTTAGGATTTAGGGGTGCAGGGTTTAGGGTTTAGGGCACGGCTCTTGGCTGCTGGGATTCAAGGGTGCTGCTAGGGGGATACCAGCAACACTGCCGCTTGTTGGCTCAGTGAAAGCGCACGTGCAAAGGTAAACTCTGAACGATTAGCCCTTTCATCATGAAGCCGTACATCTTACCCCCCAAAATTCCCCCCCCCCCCCCTCCCAACCAGTTGAAGCTTCCTTCGTCTAAGTCACAGCTGACGTCAGCACCGCATGTTTGCTGTTTTGTTCACACTGCAGAAGTTAAGCGCGTACTCCTAGCGTCGAAGAAGACGACTGCTTGCTGCTTGACCCTGAGCTTCTCAGGCTTGTCGACTTCTAGACTGCGGGCGTCGCCACTTTTTGTGTGGTACGACTATTTCTCCTGCCCGCAGCTGGAGAACAAGCATTTCTCAAATCAGACCAGCAACCTCGCCAAGGCCGTTGACAGCATCCCAGCCTATGTCGAAAGGCCAGGGGTAGCAAGAATACAGCCCAAGCCCCTTGTTCCAGAAAGGAAAGAAGCATCCTGCCGGCCCCGAACCCAAAAATCCGTTGTCAGGAGTGAAAGAGCCTCCAGTGTACCGTAGGGTTTAGGGTTTTCGGGCTGTTAGGGTTTTAATAGGGTTTATATGGCTTTAAATAGAGTCTATTAGGGTTTCATCCCTACCCCCCTTAATTAAATGGCTCCTAAACCCTAAACTATCGCTTGGTTCGTCCGAATGTGAGCGATAAACGCTACTAAACCCTAAACCCTAAACCCTAAAACCCTTGAAAAGGTGCGCCTTCTTCTTCGTCCTTTGCCCTGTCCTGGACAGCCCTGAGTTGTCGAAGGTCTTCAGCCCTTTCAGCTGGGCAGATCCTCGCTTTTAGGTGCTTGCGGGGTTCAGGTTCTAGGGTTTAGGGTTCAGGGTTCAGGGTTCAGGGTGGCACAGAGGCCTTGTGCCGCCCAAGAATTTCCAGTATGAGCAAGTGGATGTTGTTCTAAATTCTAGTGCCAAGCCTAAGGTTGTAGGTTCCCTTGCGCCTCGCCCTTGCGCCGCCTTGCGCCGCCTTGCGCCGTGCTACGCCGGCAAACATGCCAACCACAAAACGTGGTACCGTGAAACTCCTGGGGCGCTCAAATCACAAACCTTGCGCACCTTGCTCTACACATCCCGGTGTCGAAGCTGTCCCTGGCGAAGCTGCTCATTTTTTGTCTTCCTGCTTCCTGGGAAACCTCTGGCTGCCCACCTCCGAAGATCCTCTGCTAAGGCCCATGGCTTCACATCGGCCATGCTGTCTTGCGCCAGCCTTGCGCGTTCCTTGCGCCACCGGGCGCAACCTAAACCCTTGTTTTGGGGCAGAGCAAGTACCCTTTTTGATTATTTGACTTGGCTTATGTGGCAGATTTTAGAGCCTGTGCTTGCGAGATTTTGAGCGGGGGGTTGGGGGGGGGCGCAACCCCCCCAATTTGCAAATAGTGCATCAACAAAGAAAACATACCATATTGGGCATCCCGAGCAAGTTCTCTTTTGCAGATACTCCAGCGGGAGGGTTGGGGCAGGGGCACAGCCCCCCCCCCCCCCATTGGCAAATACTTGGTTTGCATGCCAGGTTTTAGAGACTGTGCTTGTGTGAGAGATTTTGAGCGGGGTGCCTCTTGAAAAGCCGAAAACAAGGGGAGCGCGAAAAGCAAATACTCGGGAGGCGTGCAGTTTCCGGATTCCAAATCCAGCTTCGAGTCCAGGATTTGTGTGCTTCTCTCAGCACCAGCGCGTGCCGGGAAGTACCCCGTCTAGGGTTTAGGCTTTAGGGGTTCAAGTTGGGATGTTCCCCCTCTAGGAGTCCATAATAGGGATTCTAGTACCCCGCTTTTCTAATCCCAGAAAAAACACTGTTAGTATAAGGGGGAACATCCCAAGGTTCGGGTTTTAGTCTGGGTTCAACAAGGCGTTTTGGGTATAGGGTTTAGAGTTCAGGGTTTAGGGGTTACTTGGAAGAGGTTCAGGACAGGTTCGTTGACGAAGTCATCCGACTCGCATGATGTCACCTGAACAACCTCGCTCACAGGCAAGCTACCACAGGAGCCCTGAAGCAAAAAGGGGTTACGTTCGGTCAGGGGGCGTGTCGGCCGCAAACAAGCTCCCATGAAGACAAAAACAGTAGTAACTTCACAGATGGGCAATTTTCGATTGATTCATGATACACGTTGAATCAAGTGAGAGCTCAAAACGAGGACTCGCAGCGAAAATTGTCAGGGAACAAAAAATGTAGAGAATGCTGAGACCTGTCCAATAGGGAACAGCAGCAAGCCTCTACGACTTCCCAGACCAGGGTTTGGAATTCCGTGTTGCCCTTTCGGGTTGAGGGTTTAGGGTTTAGGGTTTAGGGAATAACCCTGGACCCCGGACCCTAAGCCCTGTTCTGGGGGTACAAGCGAAGGAATCCCTAGACCGCCCCGAACTCTAGCTGATGAAGCCCCAAAGGTACAAAAAGACATGCAGGGTTTATAGAAATTGTATAGGGTTTGGGTCCCAATAACGTTTTGACCGAAACGTTTTGACCGAAAGTTTTGACCGAAACGTTTTGACCGAAACGTTTTGACCGAAACGTTTTGACCAAAAAGTTTTGACCGAAACGTTTTGACCCGAGCTTTTGTTTTGGAACCTATTTTCTAGTTTTTTGAATGGGCTGGGGCTGGGGCTGGAGGCTGGGGCTGGGGCTGGGTGGGGTTGGGGCTGGGTGGGCTTGGGGCTGGGGCTGGGGCTGCCTAAGCCTGGGGCTGGAGCTTTGGCTGGGGCTGGGGCCGGCTGCGAAGCTGGCGGCTGGGGATGGGGCTGGGCTGGGGCTGGGGCTGGGGCTGGCAGGCTGGAACTGGGACTGGGCTGGGCTGGGGGAGCTGGGCTGGGGCTGGGGGCTGGTGGGGGTGGGGGAAGTTGAGGCAGAGGCCGGCTGAGGAAGCTGGGGCCTGGGAGGCTGAAGGCTGGTGGCCGCAGACTTAAACTCGGCTTATCAGCTGTTTAGACAAATAACTTGAGGGGAGGGGAGGGCGAGGTTTAAGTAAATTGAGTATTTTGCCTCAGACTTAAACTCGGCTTGTCAGCTGTTTAGACAAATAATTTGAAAATTCAGAATGACACCACATACAATTTCTATTTATTTTGTCTTGAGGGTTTAGGGTTTAGGCTTTCGGGCACCCCCGCAAACTCCCTAAGTTTCCGGTTTCGGGTTCAGGGGAACCCTCCCAAGGTCAAATCTGTAGAAAACCCCCGGCCTCAGGAACGGGGCTGGTGCCGCGTGGAGCGCTTTTGCCGAGAGCTCTCCCCAGATGGGACCTACGTGTTCATCAAGACGTCTAAGGACCGGACCAGTCTGGAAACCCCAAACCCTTGTAGCCCTTATATGGCCCTCAGAACCCTACCCAAAACACAAAGCCCTACAAGCCTTAAACCCTTATAGCCTTATAACCCTTATATCCCTTATAACCCGTATAGCCCTTATAACCCTTATGCCCCTGGCCCATGATGCAGGTGATGGAGGTCGCAGCCTACACAACCTCGCTGCGTGAAGCGCCGGGCGAGGGCATTTTCACAGTGGACGCTGACCGCCTCAGGACCGGACCGGAGCCCTCCTGAGCAACCTGAAATGGGTAGTTTAGGGTTTAGGGCTTAGGGATGTTTAGGGTTTAGGGTTTAGGGGATCTCTAGTTCAAAATTCATGAGGGTATAGGCACGGCTTTAGGGTTGAGAACGAGCTCCCAATAGAAAGACGCCTAAACGCCCCAGGCCTGAAGTGGTTCTTATGACAGGCTGGGGCCTGTTCTCATGGGTGCCATCCAGCGCAAAATGCTACACTTCCTGAAGACCCGGGACTTTATTGGCTACCGCTGCTTGGCGTCTCTGTTCTCTGTGCAGGGTTTAGGACATGCATGGGGGCATGCGGAGGGGCAGAGGGTTTTCTGCACAGGGCTGGTCTGTTTTTGAGACCATTTTCCTCGATTCTCTTGTGCACGGCAAGAAGGGTTATAAGGGTTACAAGGGTTATATGGGTTATAAGGGGTATAAGGGTTAGATGGGTTATAAGGGTTATAAGGCACATGGTGGCTTGGCTTCTGGGACTCGTGGATGAACAGATGCTTCCGTAAGACCAGTCTTGGCTTGACATGGGCCCTTCAACGGGGACCACTGATAGACCCCTGATTTACCCTATAAAACCGAGGGGCCCAAACTTCAGAACCCTTTCAAAGAAGGTGAGGGACCATATCAAGGGACTGATGTTACACCTACCCTTAGAACCAGAAGAGGGTAGAAGACCCTGCCTTCTTCCACCCCTTGCGTTTCGAGAAACCAGCCAAGCCCCAGCCCTGCATCTCATTAGGGTTTTAGGGTTTTAGGGTTTTAGCGTTTAGGGTTTAGGGTTTGGGGACCCCGTGATTTTTCTGGTTTTGGGCCAAGGCTTGCTCCTGAATTCGCAGGCCGCTCTTCTCAGAGGCTTTGCCATGGATCCCAAGTATGAGCCCATCCCTGGATTCGAGAAGACAGGCCTTCTCATCAGGGTAAGGAGGGTTACCCCTAAACCCTGAACCCTAAACCCTAAACCCTATGTCTGGAGGCATGGTTATGTGGTTGTAGGGGCATGAGTTAGCTTTTCTCCCCTGCCCGAGATGAGTGAGCAGCACCTGCAGTGGCATGAAGCCAGGGAAAGCAGTAGTGGCATTGAAGAGCAGTAATGAGGGGTCCTGGGCGAGTTTCACCAGATAGTGTCTTTATCTCTACTTGACTAAAGTGATGATGAGAGCTGAGTAGTATCACTGATGTGCATGCCTGTGGCCACATGAGCTACAGATTCGTTGTCGAGACTCATTGGACCTGCATGCCTCGCCTGGCTTGTCCGAGTGTGAGCGATTAAACCCTAAACCCTCATCAGGGTAAGGAGGGTTCAGGACGGCTTCTGGCACTCACAAAGTTTATAGTCAGGGCTTGCTCTGGGCTGCTCGGGATTACGTATGGTGTTTGGGATGCGTATAGGTATCCCCTAAACCCTAGACCTTAAACCCTAAACCCTAAACCTGTGTGCCAGTGTGAGAGTCGAAACCCGAAACCGAAAGGCGGCGCCGAGGACGACGAGTCCCTTGCAGTGCCTACGTTCCTCTATCAGAACGGCTTTACAAGCGTCCAGGAGGTCGATGCGGGCGGCTGGGCTCCTTTGCACTACGCAGCCTTGCGAGGGGATGTGGAGCTCCTACGAAGCATCTTGGCTTTCTTCTGGCTGGCTCTTAGGACTTTATAACCTTTTGGGCTTTTGTAGAAACTACAATAAAAGGAGCCGAAAAGTTTTGCCTAAAGTTAAACTTTTAGGAGGGGTTCAGAAGTCAGCCAAGGCTTGCTGGCGCAACGGGCTGACCTTCGGGCCAAGACGCGAAAGGACAGTCCGACCGTGGCTGGTGTGCGCGGGATCTCCGCTCTTGCCGTCGCACTTTCCCTCAAGAATAATGGGGCTGCTCGCTTCCTCATCTCTGCAACGTGGTGGCCCAGTGGTTGGTACCCTCTACTTTTTTTTTGTGTTTGGTTCTTGGTTCCCTCATAAAGTAACCAACCCCAGAAAAGGGTGCCCTTTCATTATCAAAATATGGTTCCTGGGCTGCCAAGGCAAAGTCGGAGGTTGGAAAGTATGACCTTGGCATGGCCAGCGCCATGGACAACGCCGAAGGCGTGCGCATGGTCTGCGAGGCAGGATGCCGACCTGTCGAGTAGTAGGTTGAGGATGATTTTGGATACGTGAAGAAGGATATGTGTGCATAATGATGTATGCAAATGCGTACACATAGTAAGTATATAACATATAGTAGAAATGCTTATTTGTGCAATTCTCCAAGCACCTTAGGAACATCTGTGACTGTCAGGCAGGGTGCAGCCCAGATACCCGCTGGATCTTTGACGTTCCGGTCTTTCTCACAGCTTGTCAATGGGGTGCACTCGGAGCAATGGAAGAGCTGTTCAAGCAATCAGGCAACACCCTGGATCTCTCACAAGGCCTCCATTTCGCCATCAGTATGAAGGGCGGTCGCGCGGAGTTGGTGCAGTGGCTGCTTGATGCGAAAGCTGGTGTGGACGTGCCGTACCAAGTTCCTCCAGCCATGAGTGTCTTCGGGATCTTCTTCGCGATCTTCAGCCTTCAGCACCGACTCGGAAACATCACGCCGACCTCCAACTTGTGTTACCACTCTGAAGGCCGCAGTCCACTGATAACTGCCTTTATGGCTGGAAGCTACGAGGCCGCTGCTGTGCTGATCTCTGAAGGAGCAAGGCTGGATGCAATCACAGCGCGCGGCCTTACGGCTTTGGACTTTGTGCAGGGGCAGTCCTCGCCAGACTTCTTGATCGATGCGTTCAATGGGGATGACAGTGGATGTAGACGGGTCTCCTCCCTTGCACAGACTGTGTCTGTCAAATACTGACCGGAAGTCTCACGCACATTGCCTCTACACCCGGGACTTGGACAATTGTTTGTGCAAGCGCAATGGAGTGCCAGACGTCTGGTGCATTGTAGATTGGTTTCGTTTAGGACGTGACTGGTTGCAGCAGGGCCTCGTAGCTTGCACAGGCTGTCGGTGAAATGCTGATTGAAAGTTTCACACACTGCCTCTACACCCAGGACTTGGGTCCTTCTTGCGCATGGACAATGAGTGCCAGTAATTTTGCGTATAGAAGGGTCTCCTTGCTTGCACAGACTGCTCAGGCAAGAACTGACTGCGGGTAACAGGCATGTTGCCTCTACACGCAGGACTTGTGCCAAAATGAACTCGCGCGGAACTCTCTCCATTTCTCATCCTACAATCAAGTCTCGAAATTTCCGCAGAGAGTTCTCCGTTGTTTTTAAAAACGGGCCAGGAGACAGCTTTTGCCGAAAGGTGCTGGGCCCATCTTCCGGAATGCAGCTTGGAAATGCATGGCCGCGGCGAAAACCCCAAACCCTGCACCCCCCGAAACCCTGAACCCTCCCCCCCTCCCCTCCAAACCCCAAACTTGGGATGTATCCATATACTGACAGTCCTTAACAAAGGACTATTAGTATAAGGGGAACATCTCAACCCTAAACCTTAAACCCTAAACTGAACCCCCCCCCCCAAAAAAAAAAAAAAAAATTGGCCGAGGCAACTCCCCAAACCCCCAAAGCCCAACCCATCCCAACCCTTGAGCCAAAAGAGTTTAGGGTGTAGGGTCGAGATCTGACAAGGCCGTTGCAAAAAGGGTCTAGCTGCAAATGGTGGTTTCGAAACCGAGATTAGGGGTACCGTATTGGGGTCCGTGATCCTTCTATTTGGGGTTCGAAATTAGGGTCCCTTATTGTCGTAAACCCCCAATTCCCAAAGCCTGAAACGCAGGGGGTTTAGGGTCTACAATTGAGGGGTTCATTCGTTCGTGTATCTACCACCAACGGAAATTCTACACCAAGACCCCATATGCAGAATCTAGAAAGTTGATTGATCATTCTCAAAACCTTGCGTGTTTCTTGGATGGCCGATAGTATATTGACAAAAGTTATGAAGTTGGCACAGCTGAACGGCACAAGCAACTCGAGTCGCCGAGCAAGTGCAATCTGTCGTCGAGGCGATAGGACTGTGATCCTTGGGCCTCAAATTTGTGATCGAAACATAATTTTGCAGCTGGGGTGGGTGGGAGGAGGGGGAACGTGCAATTTGCAAACCTCGAATCTGTAATCCATGGTTTTTGGATCCGCTTTGAATGACGTGGAGCGAAGAGCAGGTCAACCACCAACGGTGGAGTCATGTGTTTCCTTCACAATGGTGGCTCAACCGACCCAACGTGCATCAGGCAGCTTCTGAGCTGGCAATGCTTTGGCCCCGGAGGAGAACTTCCTGATGGAGGGAGGTCCTTTTGCGAGCTGCTGCTTGCTGGGCAAGCAATGCGATCGACAGCCGCAGCTGCATCAGCTGATGTGCTGAAGCTCGCCATGGAAGCGTGCATCCTCAGCATCACTCCCCTAAACCCTAAACCCTAACATCAGCCAAAAAAACCGCCCAGCACGAGCATCGTGAGCATCTGCTGTGCCAGCCGAAGTCGGCCGTGCCGCGGCTTGTTGAGGTTTAGGGTTGAGGGTTGAGGGTTGAGGGGTGCAGCAAAGGGCGGCTAGCCATATCTACATGGCCGTGCAGGAATTGGACCCGGATTCAGA